CACAGAATTCTGCAAGTTCCACAGTCATGTGGGAAAGAGCCACTCGAAATTCAGAGGCAGGATAATAGAACTTCATGTATTTCCTCTTTTTATTGTCAAAGTCTCAAAGGAAATGAGTCCAATATTCCAAAGAGTTAAGAGGTACTGTTCACTATAGGTTACACTCTGCTGCTTCTACCAGGTTAAGATGTGTGCCTCCTAATTTTGTGTTAGTTGTAACATGCTTGGGAGCAAAGCAGCTTCATTTTTGGTCTTAGAATTTGATTTATATTTTATGTTAACTTGCATTTGCCAGCGTGCAGCTGCCTTGTTTATGGTCATGAAAATACGACTGGAACTAAACCAGAGAAGATACAGCTGTTGGCAAAGGCTGACCTGTCTCCCATGTCTCGCTTCCGTTCTCTTCTAGATACAACCAGGTCAAAGAAAAGTCATGAGAAAGAGGGAGTAGAATACAATTTTGTCTCTAAGCAATCCTTTGAGACAGATGTGCAGCAAAACAAGTGAGTTAACTTTAAAATACTGGCATAATTGACTGTATTTCAAACCCATTGCTAGTGAAATCTTACATCATGTGAATACCTACATCAGGTGTAAAGTTGGACTTCACTGCATTAGAAGGGTTCAGCTTTCCAAGTAAAAAGCTCTTTGTTCAGTCTGGACTTAGCGTTAACTCAGAAATGTAGTAAAAAGCAATTCAGAAATAACAGAGGACAAGTTCAGCTCTGGGCCCCTCACTACAAGAGAGACATTGAGGTGCTGGTGTGGGTCCAAAGAAGGGCAACGGAGCTGGTGCAGGGCCTGGAGCACAAGTGTGATGTGATGGGGAACGGCTGAGGGGCCTGGGGGGGGGGGTAGTATGGGGAAGAGAAGGCTCAGGGGGTCCTTATTGCTCTCTACAACTGCCTGACAGGAGGATGGAGTGGGGTGGGGTCAGTCTGTTCTCCCCAGTAACAGGTGACAGGACAAGAGGAACCGGCCTCAAGCTGCACCAGGGCAGGTTTAGATGGAGCTGAGGAACAATTCCTTCCCCAAAGGGTGCTCAGGCATTGGAACAGGCTGCCCAGGGCAGGGCTGCAGTCACCATCCCTGCAAGCGTTCACACACCCTCAGTGCCATGGGTTAGCCTTGGCAGTGGTGGAGTAAACGTTGGACTTACTTAATGACATTGAGGATCTTTTCCAACCTCGTTCATTCTATGATTCTAAGTAGGAGGATCGTAAGTTAGAATTTAAGCCTGCATATCCTAAGTAGTATTGGTCAGAATTGAATCTAGTGGAGGTAACATGCACTTAGCTGGGCTTACTTGGAACCCATCATACTGAATGGAGATAAAGTTTTATTCCTAAGTCCACTTTAAAGTGTCTTGTAGGCTGAATCTGTAGTATGAAGGACTTTCTGTAAGATTGAGTGTTTCCTGAAAGTACAGATTCTTTTGGCTTCCATCTTCTGGCTTTCCAGAAGATGGAAAAATTGGAGTCCATTTCCTTGCCAGCTTTGTTCTGTTTTCTATGGGAAACATCCTCTTTCTTCTATTAGGCTTGAACATCAGTGAACTAAAGTAATGCAGGTTCTTCCTGTATCTGTCAGCAGTGCTGATAAGCTCTCAATGACATGGGAAGACTATTGCTACTAAGCAACCAGAGAAAGAAAACACACACCCCCCCCCCCCCCCATTTGACTACTGTGACTTCAGGAAACAGCTGTATCTAATGTTTAAGTTCAGTATTTGTTCTGGATGCTGTTTAAAAATGCATTGCCTTTTTAGATTTGTGGAACATGGAGAATACAAGGAAAATCTGTATGGTACCAGTCTTGAGGCAATCCGGTCCGTGATGGCCAAAAAGAAGGTTTGTTTGGTGGATGTGGTACCTGAAGTAAGTTCTACAGCTTATTTTAAAGAAAGCAAGCATTTCTTAGTAGGCTGCAAGCTTGAGTAACTGATGCTGGTCACTATCTGTGGCTACTTGCCCTGCAAAGAACAATGATGCTCTTGGGACTTGTGTTTCTAACACATGGCCTGGTTGCTAGCGAAGTGGAATAGGGCTCTTGAGAAAGCAGTGCAGGGTTTCCAGCTCCTACGTGTCCATTGCTATAGCCTTGATGACACTTCTCAATAAAGTAAGTTCTCGCTGTGGGATTTTTCCCTTGCTGTAGGAGAAATGTGCATCACTTCCTAACCTGTTCCAAGTCCTAGAGAAAATACTGAGAGCATGGATAAGTATTTTGTTCTTGTTCATCCCTACCTCCTCGGAAGCATTACTGGGGTTGTAAGCAGTGCCAGTGTACCTACTCTTAATCCTTCCATACTGGGAGTTAATCTTTGACATTTTGATTCAGATTTTGTGCTCCAGGAAGCATATGTACTCCTGTAAGCTAGGCAGGACACTGACATTAGCCTGTCTTTAGAAGAGGCAAAGATCACTGTGCTCAGCTGTATAGGACACAGGACTTTGCAGTGTGTACCAGTGAAACGGTTGAACCCAGTTTGAGTAGGCCTTGACAGATAACAGAAAACATCTGATAATGAAAGGTATCTGTTCACAGGCAGTAAAGCACTTGAGGACTCCTGAGTTTAAGCCTTATGTTATCTTTGTGAAGCCTCTTGTTCCAGAAAAGAAGAAACATGTCCTAAAGTCTCCCATGTCAGAAGAAATCTCAGTTCCTCTTGTAAGTATTCCAACTTTCATCTCTTCTTTCTAGATATGAAAGAAGTATTTGAGCTAGCATGTGTCTGATGTGGAAGGCCTCCTCTTCTGCGAGAGTGAGAGTGGGGCACTAAGTGGGTCTTAAGATGGACCTTAGAATGAGATATTTGACTCCCTTGTAACTTAACTATAAGCAACATGAAGCAAAGCATCCATGTGGATTTGTGTACCTCAGTCTGGGCTGCAGCAGGAGAAGCTGCTACTGAACTCAGGTAAACTAAGAATCATTTTACATTTCTGATGAGCAGTCCCATCAAATGGTAAGGGCAGCCACCTACTCCCAACACCTCCAGAGTGACCCTGTGTATCAGGTGCACTCAAAGTGCAGTGTATGGATGTCTTACAAGGACCAAACCGAGCCTGACTGCAAACTGGTGCTGTGTAAATGGGAACAAAAATACTGGAAGTGTGTAATGTCATTACTTTGGGTAATTAAAAAGACATGCTCGAAATTTCATACCATCTTCTCATGTTGATTAGCAGGATGAAGAACAGCAGGAAATTATTAATTCAGCAGCATTCATTGAAGAGCAGTATGGCCATTTAATTGACACTGTACTGGTGAAAGAAGATCTCCAGAGCGCTTGTAATCAGCTGAAAACTGTGTTAGAGAAACTAAACAAGGATTCATTTTGGGTGCCAGTCAACTGGGTTAGGTCATAGCTTGTTATCATCTGTTTAAGGCAAAGACACTATAAAAATGTCTTGTAAATACATGGATTAGAAAAGGGGACTATGTCAAATTCACCTCAAAACTGCTGGTCTGTCTAGAAGTTAATACATATAGACTGTATCGGGAAGAACTCAAAGTCAGAAGCAGACACTGCCTTCCTAAATGAGAATCTTGCATAACAGATGCTAACACTCAGCCTGAACAGTGCAGTAAAATATTGGAGTGACTTTTAGACTGTAAATAGTGCATTTTGTACAGTGAAGTTTCACAGAGGGCCCTACACTTCCAAACCATTTAAGCAGTGCTAGGGCACCAACCAGTGGAATCTTTAGCCTTTGGACACAAATTCTGTAGCAAGAGTTAAGATACTTTTCAGGAACCACTACGCCTACAGAACACAGTGCTTCAGGGATGGAGGGATGTCCTTTGGAGAGTGCTTACACAGTTACTGGTCACTCAGAAGTTCAATTGGCTGTCAGGCCAGCAGAAAATGCTTCCCTTCACTCAGGATCATTAATTGCAAATCCTCTCCCATTAGGCATTAAAACTAGGCCAGTTCTACAAGTTGTAGGTATCCTAGTGCCTGGGGGGGGTTATGTCAATCCCACATTGCCTCCAAGTTGTCTTGCACAGGTATGCTCATCCCAGTCTCTTCCTACTGCCACAGGACAAATGTTAAAACAACCTGTGAACACCCCTGTGTGACTGGGCAGCTCATAACCCAGAGACATTTTTTAGTCTACATGAGAATAACTGCATGTGACTTAAAACAGGACTTTTAAGAAGCCTATTTTCTACAAGACATCTTTGCAGATGCCACCTGATGGGATACCACCTTGACACCAACATAGCAGCTCCAAAAAGGGCAATAGAAGGAGGCTGAAGTACAAAGTAAATGAGCAACTGGCCCAAATCATCATACTTCCAGCATTTATGACTGTTCCAAATCAATTAAAGACATCTAGTTGGCTCCATCAAGTCCTGAAGAAGAAATCTTAATCGTGAAGAGGACTTTGTCTATATTTCAGGAGATTTGAATATACAGCATTTTTAGATGGGTGTTAAGAAAAGGCAGAGAGATGATTCTGGAAGCACCTAGGCTTTATTTGAAAACTGGATATTGTACAGGTATGTGTTAGTTGAAACTAGTTCCTGTTTGCCACTGCCTGCTGAGATCTAACCTTTCCCGTGTACCATGCCCCTTAACAAAACCTTTTGGTGCACCAGTCTCTTTCCTTGCATCTTAACAGTATGCTGTTATTCTTGTTCCACTGCATTTAGCAAAACCAACAATGTTGCATATTAAAAGCACTTTTCTTACATACCAGTCTTGCTGAACCTACTTAATCCTAGCCCAAGCGGTTGTGTAGAACAGTCACCGGTATCCATCTTCTCCGGATGCATACCCTGGCCCCTTTGATGCACTGAGGTTGCCATTGCTACAAGAACAAGCACTTCTCACAATCAGATACCTGCTCTGGCTCAACAGCACACAGCTGGTGTCAGACTGATAGCCTCAGCAAATGCACAAGAACTCCTTCACATGGGGGTGACCCATCACTCCTGCTATTCCCTCTCTCCAGCCCTATAATGTGGCTGACAAGAGAGACACTGTCAAGTATATGACAAATGTACCTTTATCCTGTGAAAAACTGAGGGTAATATTTTATTTAAATAGCAGCACTTCAAACTAAGTGGTTTGATGAAACTATGAAATGGACAGATTGATCTCACTGTACATCTGTATTGCGGATTACAAGCATTTTTTTTGTAGTCTGCAAGAAAAACATGTTGTTTAGAGGATACAGATCTGATTTAAAGAACACCAAGTAAGATACTGTCTAGGGGTCAGAATTCACTAATAGCAAGGTTGCTTCTAACATCTTAGAATATTCCAAATGACTAGCAGTAAAGAAGTTAATTTGTATGCTTTATGATCTAACATAGTCAAGTAATAGAAATCTGCATTAAGAGAAGTAAGGCAAATGACATACGGTGCTACACCTGAAGTTACAATACCTGAAAAGATATTAAAATACAGCATTGCTATTAAAAGTGAACTGAAATACTCGTTGTGAGTTAGTTTTTTAAGTGTATGCAGATAAGCTGTGTGGATGTACAAAGGCAGGTACTAACTCAAGATAGTGGCAGAAACATTGGTTTTGTTAATGAGGTTTGAAATAAAGGATGGCAGGAGGCTCTGTATTACATGCAAAAGATTGCAGGTAACTAAGATGAGCTTCAGTTGTAGGGGGAGGAAGAGAACACATTCAATGCTCCTATTTATTCTAAAGTGCTAGGAAGAAGGTACATGCAGATGATTGTTCTGAAGACATGATTCCAGTCTTGCCAATGCTGAGTCCCTGCTGCATTAGCCATGCCTGGTAAGGAGAAAAAACCTTGAGAAGAGATTTTTGAAGACAGTCTGAATGCAAATTTACTTTAATCCCAAGACGTTGGCAGTAGTGCCTAAAGGTCTAAGTCAAAGTACTTGAACTCCTCTCCCTGTCTTGCTCACACCTAAAATGTACATAGTCTTTCATAATTCTTTTTTATGGTTTGTAGTATTGAAGGATGAGTCTTGGTTAACATCTACAGGGGTCTTCCTGTATCTGAAACTGATACAGGCTGTATCTGAAACTGCAGTTTTTCTGTTCTAACTTGACATCTTATATTGAACTGGGGACATGTAGCAATTTAAACTGCTTAAAGCCATGTGAAATAGGGAAACAATGCTCAGGATGGCTCCTGTTAACTACATTTAAGGGAACTTGGGTGCCTAAAAGACTCCCATACCATTCTGGGAAAGGAAAGCTTTTCAATAATCCTCCAAAATGGAATACTACCTTACTTTATGGCAAGGCAGGAATTTCAGAAAGAGTCCATGTTGAATGCCATCCAGCAAGAGCACGATACTCTTAAGAACTGTGACTTCATAGTGAAAAACCTGATAGTTACCAGAAAAATACCTGGAGATCTCAGTTGTGCAGCAGGGAAAGAGAAAGGGCATTTTGTTAACAAACAAAGAGTATTTTGCTCATCAGTGGGGGTTTGGATCCACTCAGCTGGTGACAGGACAAACAAAGCACAAACTAGTGCTTGGAACCACTGCTCCCACCCTGCTTTAACAAGAAAATCCCTTCTTTGGGGCAGAACAGCCACCTGTGAAGTTAAGCAAGTGGACAGTACGCAGCACAAAAGCTTTTATCCCGCTGTGCTGAGGATCCTGTCAGCTGCATTCGCTGCTTCTCTGCATTCCTACCCCAAACACTTGGGGTCTGCAGGATCTTTATGGCCAGTTCCTCAAAGGCATGTTGCACCCCATCCTGTGTCTTGGCACTGGTCTCTAGTTGAGGGGGAAGAAAACAAAAACGAGGAGAATTCCACTTTGTAAGAAGGTCTTTTGGGACCAGAGAAAAGAGGTTTTTTAATGATTGAACCTTCTCTCCGTTCTCTCTTAAAGGCACACTTAAATTGAAGGTGACAAACAGAAATGCATCCCAGTCTCAAGCACCACATGAAAACAATTCCACAGCTCCACTTTCTCTCCATAATGGAGAAACAGAAATTGTTCTAAGGTTGTGATAGTAAATCTACAAGACAATTACTCCCTAACTAAACCAGGAAACAAAGATTGCAGGAGGAGTTGCATGTTTTCCCCTAGGCATTTCAGTTGCTTCTGGAAATATTTTCAAGCTTCACTTCACACTTAGCAATACCAAACTAAACAGCAGTGTGCAAGGGTTTGGCAGAGAGCTACATACCTATAAAAAGCAGGGAGCGTTTCCTAGCAAACTGGAGTCCTTCTCTTCTCTCTACTTCACGATCAGGCTGCAGAGATGAAGAACATGACTAAAATAAGCCACACCTGCCACTTTTAGGAAGTCCCTGGAAGAGCACCGCTGGAGAAGGGAGGCTTTGTTGAAAGGAAAAGTCTCTAAACCCATGTAATAATCACGATCTTCCTACTCTACAGACAGCTTCCTGCTAGGCAGGCTGTTAGGGGTTCAAACTGAACAGCAGCAACATCACATCAGTTGGAAATTAATGTGTTGCTATCTTCTCAATCAACTAGCAGGAAAATACTTGCCAGAAAGAGGCATATTAGATCTGAGAACTGGCAGATGTGGAAGGGGGAAGAAGGGAACCTAGTTCAGGATACCACACAGGAAGCCTCTTGTGAAACATCTCATTATGTAACAGACACCTAAGTTATGTCAAAACACCCAAGAAACATGCAGCAACCAGTGCACCTCACACCTACAGAGATAAATACAGCCATCTGAAGAGCTGAATTCTCCTTCCCCACCACATGTCCAAACCAGAGCCTGGTCAAAAAGAAAGCAGCAGTTGGGTTGCTTGTTGTGCTGCAGTTACATTCAGTGCGATACAGCAGTTCTTAGGTAGAACCTCACACTTTCTTAACAGAATCTCTCATCAACTGCATCTCTCCAGGTGATTTTCCATTCAAATCTTTTAAGATTTGCTTCTAAAACGACACAGTAAGTGGAGTCTGCCCAACCTAGCTCCCTCATTTATAGCAGCATCACCTCCTAACACAACAGATTTGTTAGTTTCAGCACTTATCTCACATTTATACTCTATAATGACTGAAAAATCAGTGGAAGAGTGCAAGAGAGCAAGCAAAAGCATTTTTAAACTGACCTTATCAGTTTTATTGCCAACTAACATCTTCACGGTGCTGTTTTTGGACGTATAGACTTCCAGCTCGTTCAGCCAGCCATCTAGTCCTGTGAATGTGTCTTTTCTTGTAACATCATACACTGGTAACAGAGGAGAAGGAGCTTAACTGCTGTAGAATCTTGGTATTATTTTTTTACTTGATTACAGCAGAACTTAGCCCTTCCTAGCTAACTAGTGCCCCCCCAAAGCAGTATTAAGGAATTCCAGAAGATGCATCAATCATACCCTCTTCCCAGAGCTGGAACACACTGGAACAACATCACTAAGGATTTAAGAACACGAGCATTTCTGCAATAGATCTGTGACTGGAAATCACACTTAACAGTTGTCATCTTATACATGTTACTAGTTCTGAATTGGGCCACAAATGCTTTAAAATAGGTATTTCGTCACCTCATTTCCCGTGTCATTACAGGCATTGCACTACTGCTAAAAACACGGATTCGGAGTAAAAAGTAACTTTTGGTCACTGGTAACTGCATTGATTTGATCACTAAGGTTTAAAAAGCTGTACCCCAGTTGGAGAGAATATTTTGTAGAGCAAGGTCTTCAGCCTTCTCAAAACCAGAGAAAAAGAATCCCTTCTTTTCCTGAATGGTGCTGTTGCTCAGAAGGGACTGACTAGGCATCCATTACTTGTGCTACAAACCTCATGTCTTATAATCACATCAATAGTTTCAGGGGGGGAAAAACCAGCACAAACCCCAATGTGCCTGATTAGAAGAAACTCCCTGAAGCAGGAAGTACAAAGCTGATAACTCACCCAGGCTGCAATGTGCCATCTCTGTATTTTAAAGTGTTTCGAAGCAGCATTACTTCCTGCCAGTGGTTTTGCATGCTGTGTTTGTGTTAATGATGTAGTGATGTGGTAAAAGCCACAATCACAAGCGTTCCTCTGACTCTCAGACAACCTCTTTTTGCAAAGATATGCACATATGTAGTAATAAAGACCACGCTTTTTGCAATCATGTTTTATTTCCATATACCTCCTACCTAAAACAACCCCTTGAGCTCCTCGGTAATAACTGGCAGTCAGTGTTCTAAAGCGCTCCTGTCCTGCTGTGTCCTACAGGGGGAAAAAGGAAAATAAAAGAGACAACACCACTCACACAAAATCAAATATATTTACAACAAAAAAGGTATTTTAAACTACTCAAGATATACAAAGTTAATTTTATCCTCAGCAAAAAGGATAACCATAAGACAACAGATAGAGGGAAGCAGACAGTAAACAGCAACAGCAAGCACATGAGGGAGGGTAGAAATGTATAGAAAGGACTTCACTGAAGGTTAAGGTGATGAGCACAGACATGAAAGTCAACGGGACTCCAGTGAAATATGTGAAAGGTTATTGCTGCAAGCCAAGCAGCAAGGCTTCATCAGTCAACAATGAGCTGAACAAAATAAGGTGAAGAATAACTGGTTTTCTAGTGACAAGACACTGCAGGAAAGGAGACATAGTGATTCCAAAGAGCTCCCTTTGCTCCCCCATAGCAGGAAAGGAGAATCCAGTTAGAAAGAACTACTTCAAGTCTGCCAAGAGTCTAAACAGGTAAGTTTTAAATCAGCAGTCCCATTCGATTGCTGCTGCAGGATGACACATGCACTCGGTCACCATCTTCATATAGCTCCCAAGCGCAACATGAAATTCAAAAACTCAGAACAAGAAGGAGGCAGAAGAATTACACAAGTTTTACCAAAGAAATTTATTTAAGTTTCTGTACAGACTGCAATACAGACTAACAGCTATATTGTAATATACTACTGCTTGGTTAAAAAAGAAACTAAAATTAGCAATATAGGTATTTCATTTGTTTCATCATTACTAAAGAGACTGTATTATCAGGAACCTATGCACACAAGGGCACTAAAGCAGAAGCCTCTTTTTCACTTTGATGTGCTTTATATGTATTAAAAGTTTCGCACTGGTTTCCCCCACTCCCCATGAGCAGCTTCTCCAGATGCTGTTACACTGCTGCAAAAGTGCCCTTCCCAGTTACACAACTTGTGCAAGTTCTGGCCTTGCTTTTGATTTCATAGCAAGCAGATGCACCCTTGTATGATTATCAGGGCAAACACACCTTGGTTATTTTCAGCAAAGCCTCCGATCTGTGTGCAGCATGTTCAGAACACAGCCAATACTTATACTCACTGGCTACAGCAAGTGTGACTTTACCACTCCTGCTCTGCATTCTGCACACAAAGTGTGAATGAATAAAAGAATATAATCCAAGTTCTTGCATTTCTATTACTGTTGTTAACAGCAGGCTAAGGCACATTTCTGCTCACTTTACAGTAGTCACACTTACTTAATCGGTAATAGTGTGCTCTTTCTTAAATACCTACGACCATACACATACAATCTCATCCTTCTAGGGCTCTTTCATCCCGTTCAGAACAAATGTAATGCTTTAATATTATAAATAACCCTGATCATACAGCTGCAATTTGATTTCCTATTTCGCAGGCGCTGGAAATACAGCTTCGGGAAGTTCAGGACAAATGCTCAAGTCTCCCACTAAATCTGACCCAGCCTTTAAATAGTTCAGGACTGAGTGTGTTTTCTTTTTCCATAGTTTTAACCAAAATAAAGCATCTGGACTGTTTCTGGTGTAACATACCCAGAGCTGCTGCACAACTCCTGCAGGCAATCATGCACTTCATCGCCCTGAACATCACTTTTCTGCAGTTTACCCGACTTCAGCGCTGTCAATGCAGAGAGCACTTCTGGGTCACACAGGCACGAAGTGCCTGCCTTTCCTGCAAGGCTAACTCTTAACAGAGGGTCTGAGTAACCCACTTGTATAACAGCAGGAACACGCAGTCACGATCTCTACCAGAACTGATGCCACAAACGTGGAGGAAGGCAGCATTTAGAGTTGTTTGGAATGAAGCCTGTCTGTAGCTACACTCGTACGGTCATGGCAAGGCATTCTGCGCGCATTTGCATCATCACAACACAATCTCAACATGCAAAAGAGTTTAGCGGAGGCCAAAAGAAGCTGGAGAAGTTTTTACATCTGCCAAGAGCAGAACCTATCCCTCTCTGGGACAAAACCTACCCATATCGCAAGCTGCACTGCACGGCCGTCTATCACCATTTTCTTCACTCTAAAATCAACACCTAAGACGTAGCAGAACGGAATGAAGGTCTGTAAGAACGAACCGGCTCATGCCGCCCCCCCCCCGCCCCTGCCTGCGCCCGGTCCCGGCTCCCCCCCCTTCCCCGCTGCCTCTCGCCAAAGGGACCCAACCCAAACCAAGCGGAAACACTCCCGGTTTGAAGGGGCGGAGGAACGGGAGGGGACCCGGACTCACTGATGGTGGGTTTCAGGCTCGGCTCAAACGCGCCGTCAGCGAACCGCAGCAGGAGGCTGTGGGGAAATGAACCCGAGAGCTCAGCGCGGTGCCGAGAGCGCTCCTCCCGCCCGGCCCGCGCCCGCAGCACCTGGACTTCCCCACGGCGCTGTCCCCGATCAGAAGCAGCTTCAGGGTGAGGCCTGCAGCGTCCATCCCCTGCGCTGCCCGGGTCCGGGTCCGCCCGCAGCCGAGGGGCGCTGGAGCCGCTGGGCCGACGGTACCGAAGCCCTGCAGGCGGATGAGGCGGCTGCGCTGCTCTGGGGTAGGCCCCGGCGGGCACCGCCACCAGAACCACCGGCCGCGGCTCCGCCTATGAGGGCGGAGCTGGGCGGGCACGAGTCGCTGCGCCGGGGCGGGGGGGGGAACCTCCGGCTGGCCGGCGGGGAGCGGCTTGGGCCTGGCCATGTCGGATTACCGGATCTCGGTGGAGGAGCTGAACGATCTCCTGGCCAACGGCAGCGGCTGCTACAGCCTCCCCAGCGCGCACAGCAACGAGGTGGTGCCGCGCATCCACGTGGGGAACGCGTGAGTGCGCCGGGCCGAGGCGGGCGGCTCGCGAGAGGCGAGGCTGGCCCCGGCGGAGGACGGGCCCGGCTCTGGGAGGCCCTGAGCGCGGAGGGCCGGGTTGGGGCCGCGCACGGTCGTGAGGGGCAGGGAGTGCACCGAGGAGCGGCCCGAACGGGAGCCGGGGTCGGAGGAGGAGGAGGCCCTCGGGCTGCTGCGCGGAGCCTGGGCAGCCCGAAGGCCCCGAGTGCTGGGGCGCTGTCAGCAGGACCCCCGCGGCTGCAAGGCCCGAGCTGCCGATGGCTCGGAAATGTCACCTGCTGAAATGTCCCAAATCTAAGCTAAAATCACGGCGAAACAAGGTTAAAACTAGTTAAGTAGCTGCAGAATGAAACGGCTGCGCAGTTGGGTCAGGACCGGGCTTTTTGCTGCTCCTGATGTTTCTTACCCCTGCTAACAAGCTGTGGTGATTCACACAGAAAAGGGAGGGGGCACAGGATGGCATGAGGTGTATGCACCATATCGTCTGCAGAAACCCAGTCACAGCACTGGTGTAGATGAGTGGAGTGAGCTGGAACATGGAGAACAAGCAAAGTAGCAATGCAGGTGTTAGATCTTGGTTTAACCATGGTCAGAATTACCCAAAGGAAGCAAGACTGTAACAGGAGCCTCCCTCCCCGAATCTCCTCTCTTTTAGTTTAAAACCATTACCCCTTGTCCTGATGTTACCATTTGGAGGAGTTAGCATTTCAACATTGAACGTGATGCAGCTGGAATGAAATGTTAAAGAGTGGGAGAGATCCAAGAACTGTTTGGAAAGGGAGAAGAAAAAGGCATACAAATCCTCCCCTTTTCACCTCTAGCTGTGTACGAAAATAATCTATAAAATCTACACAACTCATTCACTGGGAATGAGTTTGCCTCCAGGGGAGCCAGATTTAATCACAATTCCAGGACATGAGTTCCTATTGTTCCTGAGCAGTATATGTACCAATCTATATACTATTACTTAAGCTGTATACTCGCCCTGCTAAGAATAGGAACTCACAGCTGAATTAATACATTTTGTTTTGGCCTTGCACTGTAGGATTTACTTTTGTGTTGCAAGCAGGATCCCCCGGACACTGATACTTGTCCCCTGGCACAGATGATGTCCTGCCAGATGGAAAATCTGTCAACATTTGTTTGGGTAATGAAGTCTTTACAAATATTTGTCTCATTGCCATAGTTGTTTGGCACAGACAGCAGAAAATGCAGAAGCTTCAGTCATGCATAAGGATTCATCTGCTTACACTACAGTTTAAGGGGTGAAGAGTCATTAGGAGAAAAGGAACGCTCCAGATGTTCATTTAGCTTGTGTAGATAACAGTTAACTACTGGGCTTTCTGTAATCTGCAGGATTTTCCTACTTTGGTCAGCATTTTAGGTTCAGAAAGAGTTACATTTTTATGCCATATTAAGGTCTAACAGATTAAGTTTCATGTGTGCTCTGCTCAGTTGTCAGCCAAGAAAGAAGCATTTTCTCATGCACAGCTGATGACCATGGCTCTAAATAGTTCTGTGAATTTATAATCTGTATCTGATCGCTTCTGGGCACAGTATATTTAGCATCTGTTAACAGAAAAAGCTGAGGTTTTGCTTATCAATACCTTATGGGGACATCATAAATACTGAGATGATTCACCAAGTTCTAATTGTTTTCTTGACACTTTTTATCATACAGGTACGTAGCCAAGAACATTATGAAGCTGCAGCATCTGGGGATAACCCATATTCTGAATGCAGCAGAGGGGAAGTCATTCATGCATGTGAACACCAATGCAGAGTTCTATGAAGGCACAGGCATCAGATACCATGGGATTAAAGCTAATGACACGCAAGAGTTTAACCTCAGTCGCTATTTTGAGGAGGCAGCTGATTTTATTGAGAAAGCACTTTCCCAGAAGGATGGTAAGGCAGACTGCAATATCTTGCTGTCCTGTTTTCTGGCTACTGCATATGTTTCCTGGCAACTTCTTTTACTGTTTAAAATGGCTCTTTGCTCAGATTATCAGCTAAACAACCAAGTCAGGAATTCAGATCAAGGCTCTGTATCAAGACACCAGAATACATAATAAGACATCATAATCTTCTGTCTTTACATGTAGATCTCCAGCATATGACAGATGGAAGTCTGTCGCTGTAGAGGTGACTTGGAAGCTGTTGTGTCCTGTGATGGTGCTTTTCTTGGAAGGTGTTACCTTATTTTTCCATAGAAGTGGTGGATCACATGCACAGTCAATTTTTAGGAAAAACATTCAGGACCTGGAAGTTGTTTTAGGATATTGGGAATTACAAATTAAAGGCAAAAGTGATAAAAGTAATGCATTGCTGAAGGGTGGTTACAGCCTGTTTTTCTTCCAAATGTACAGTAAGGGTAGAGATTGGTGATGGTGACCTTTTTATTCCTGCAGGATTGCAGAAAGGCTGGAGATGAGATTTGCAATGTTGATTGCCACATTTCTCTCCTGTGTGTTTCCTCAGAGCAGAAACCTCAGGACATAGTGCAGTGGGCCAGATGGTGTTTGTTCTATTTCAGTATACCAGTTATTTCTACATAAGCTTAATTTCTTTCTTGCTTCATGACTGAACATAAAAAGGGAGGAACAAGAAATCCCACAGTTCTCTTAAGTTCTTTCTCTGAAATGGGCAAAGGGAATACACAAGATGGAGAACCTCCAGTTTGGTGGAGCACTGTAACTCACTGGAACAGGTTGCAGAAGGGAAGAAGAGTTTAACACTGCTATGACTGTCTCTGCTCAGTTTGATCTAAACACTTGTAGAGGCAATCTGAATTTACAGTACCATTTCTGTTTGCTGATTCTTTCAGTCTCAGTAGTTGTCTACCGTGCCTGCCACTGTGTTCTTATGGTGGTACACAAAGAGGATTGTGTAGCTAGGTGATGCTGGAGCCAGTTTTAAGGTTAACTTGCTATTGCACTTGGATAGTTTTGTTTGATGCTGAAATGTAGAGTAAGGATAGTGAAGTGAAGAGGTATGCTGTAGCATTTCCCTTCAGATTCATTTAGCTTTCTAGTTGCTTGAAGTTCTAAGACACTGCCTTCACAGAGCTAGAAACCCTTTTGCTTCTGATCATTTACAGAGGGGAAGTCAATTCTCTTGCACATATATGACCAAGAGTCTCTAAATCTTGCTAGTTTAGCACTAGAGGCTCTCAAGAGCTGTTGAGAATGCATTGTTTTAGCTATTGTAACGTGCTGTTGGTGAGAAATTTGCCTTGAGCTGAGAAGCCTCTGCAGCTCAAGGCAAATGTGATAACAGGTTTTCTGTTGCTGTGGTTCAAAGCAAGTTATGGTTATGATTCTAGAGTGTGTGTATAGTTCATCAGTTCTCGTCTCAGATTTACCCTGGAGAGTAGCCCGGGGCCATATCTCCCATTGCATTTGAAAAGGGGAAAATTTTGTGTCTGGAACAGCAGGTCAAAGAGGAAGCAGCTGAGAAGCAGTAAAGTCGAGTTAGATGTCCTAAAGGGAGTACTGCCCTGCTTTATTATTGTTGGTTATGGTGCTGGGTGGAGAATGGATTAAGAGCAGCCCTGAGGAGAAGGACTTGGGGATGTTGTTTGATGAGAAGCTCCTCATGACCGTGCAGTGTGCACTTGCAGCCAAGACCTGTGTGCTGGGCTGCATCAAAAGGAGTGTGGACATCAGGTCAAGGGAGGTGATCCTCTCCCTCTATTCTGCTCTCGTGAGACAAACAGGACAAACATCAGTGAGGTTAAATGATTCGAGAGGAGTATCCATAAATCATAAATATTAATGTGCATTGTATCCTAACTATTTCATGTTGCTTTTCAAACCTGTATTCCAGAATAACCCAAATTATGACCTGTCTTCCCTGCAGGACAAGTGTTTGTGCATTGCCGTGAGGGCTACAGCCGTTCTCCTACCCTGGTTATTGCCTACCTCATGCTTCGCCAGAACATGGATGTCAAGACTGCGCTGTGCACGGTCCGGCAGAAGCGAGAGATTGGCCCCAATGATGGCTTTCTAAGGCAGCTTTGCCAGCTCAATGAGCGCTTGGTGAAGGAGGGCAAACTGAAGCCCTAGAACTGGGCACTGGAGTGTTTTTTGAAGTTTCTCAGAGGATGTCTTAGATGCTTTAGATTCTCAACCCCCAAGCACCAAGCTCAATCATTTCCTGTGAGGGAGACAGAATTCCTGCTCTTGGCTAGTGAAACTCTGGGTCTGTCTTTCAAGGAGGCACAAAACTGTGTCACTGTCCTGAGCTGTTGCAATGAGGAAGTGTTTTTAGAGGGGTAACTGCAGTGATAGCAGCTGTCTTCTCACATATGCCAGAGCCCCCTGCAGACTCTGTTGCATCTGTGGTTTGCATTGGCATTGAGTGTGATTCATTTAAGCCTTGTTTTACATCCCACCAGAGCACCATTTTATGAGAGCCCCAACACATCACTCACTTTTAATTAAAGTACTGTATTTTCTAAAGCTTCTTTTTCATGCACACAGTGCCTAAAGTTTGAGTGTAGGAGCTTCAAGGAATGGAGAAGCATATATATATAAATACACAGAAGCACTTGCTTGTAAAATGAAGTCTATGCAGTGTTGTGTTTAGTGTGGATTTACGCAATACACAGTGTGTGTTAGTAAAGCCATTCAGAGCCCAATCTTGAGGCACACTATTTCCAAGAGTATTTGTACCTCTTGCTCTGGTGATTGACAAGAAATGGTTGATATTAAATGCTCTTTTATTTTTGTTTTGAAGTCGTACTAGAAAACAAAGTCAAGAGCAAATGTTGAGGAAAAAACTTGAGCAAGGAATTAAAAACGGTTTATATTTGGGAGTGCTTGTACTGAATGTGTGATAAAGTCCTGAGTGGCAGAATATAATGGCTCCCAAGGCTTGTGTGGAATTACAGTTTCTCTCTCCCTTCTTCCCTATCATTGTTCATTAACATAGGATAGAATGACCACATATGCAGATTACTTCCAGTAGGGCAGCACAGCTGTGCCTACAAAGCAGTTTGCAGATGTACACTCAGGAGTTCTTGGATTGCTTGCATGGAGTGATTAAATAGAAATGAGCATTGTTCCGTACCACACTGAATAGGAAACATTTCCTTTGTGTTTAAATAAATGATGTCTTCATGCTGTTTGACATAAAGTTGAAACGAGTCATTGCAATGTTAGGAGAGGGAGCTTTGTTTATGGTATGCCTGATGGTGTGTAGGTGTGTACCTGGGAGTTAGAGCACAGTATTAATGCAAAGGGCCTTCTCTGCAAACTCAGAGTTGTTGGTTAAACTAACAGAACTTGAGATATATCTGTTCCTTTTTTATCTGTGTTTTAACGTGGTTCTAGATTAGAAATCTTACCACTATCTTAAGCAAACACTGTTGTATTGGTAACGTGTAAGATCAGATCTACTTTTGTATATTCAGTTCGCTAATCAAAAAATCACAAAGGACGTACACTGTTTTGCTTCTGGTTGTTGGGGTTGTGTGGTTTGGGGGGGGGCAGGTGGGAATGATGGGAGGGAATCCTGAATAGCTATATAACTTCTTTGAAGTTAAACTCCAGAAGTGAGTATTCTGGTTGAAGACCAGGCTTATTTCTGTTCCCTTGCACAGGATGGGAACTGGCAAGTCCAGTAGCCTTTTCTTATGTGTCCTTTAAAGGGAAAACTGGAGAACACTCTCCATAGTGTTTCCTTTCATCTCTCTACAATCAGTATTTAGTGCTTGCTTTGAATCAAGATGGTTCAGTAGTGAGGAGCAGTAAGTAGTTTCATTGGCTAATTACATACCCGTACATCAGTATTACATAGTCATACACTGTTAGATCCCATTATATCAGTATTAAGTGAATAGCTTCTCTTTCTATGTTGTCTCACACCATGTATTCCTGATACCTCTCTGCACTACAGGGAGAAAAAAGAGCTTCATAAGCATGTACTTTGACCTGTTACTTAAGAAGTCAAAAATTCCAGTCCGTTAAAAAGCCAAGAATGCAGTAGGCATCAGACTTCTGTTGCTCTTCCATAGGTTGTAAGAAGGCTGATAGTTGTCAGATTAAACCAGAACACTTTAGTAAGTGGAGTCTCTTTACCTGTTTTTGTAAGAAATCCTGACAAATCAAGACATACAGGAATTTGTTCTCATATTCAAGATACTCTTTGAATTCATAGGACACTGCTCACTTCTGATGGGAACTTCAGTGCTAATGTGGCCCATTTAGCTTAGCGTGACAGAAATGATTTAACAAATGTTTTGTAGTAGGAGAGCGGAGAGAAATAAGTGCTATAAATTGATCTGACAATTGAGCTGTAAGATGGTATGTCCTATTCTGAGTTACTGATGGGTGACTCAGTAATGAAACCATTCCTAGCTCTGCTTTTAGAGTAGGCTAAAAATAGTTTAGAATGTCAGTCCCCTGCTCCATTAATGGACCATAGGCTGCCTCTTTTATCTTGCTGTTTGAGTACAGTAATGTTTCGAATTCTTCTTGCCTATTTTAGCTTGCCAAGAAGAGACTGTATGCTTCAAATCCATTGTCATATGCTCTATACTTCTAAATCTCTTTTTTTGATTGTAGAATGAAAGCTTGTATAAAATGGGAATGAGAACTTTCTTTCCAGCTAATACAAAACCAGGAAAGTACTGGAAGAAATGCACCTTTTTTGACCTTCTGAAGTGTGAGATGTTCCTTACAAACATGCTAATTGGGGAAGGTATTTCTTCAAATCACTATTGATTGCAACACTACATTTCTGGAGTTGAAACCTCTTGGTTATAGCTAAGATAGTGTGATGTGTTTATCCTGAAGAGCGGTGTGGTGCTTCTTGGGTAAATAGTCTGGAGAATGGATGGAGTTTCTGTGAGATATGCATTTATCATAGACAAAATGTGTCTACCATGTAAAATCCAGCACAATGAAGGAAAAAGCAATGGCTTAGGGGTTTTGTACTTGAGAGTTAGTGAAGTTGGAGAGTGGGAAGAGTGGAAGTGAGAAGCTATTCGCATTGCATAACAAGTTACAAAGAGGAACCTCCGGATAGATCAAATGATGATATATGTAAAACTAAATTCACCTTCTACTCAGGCTGAACTAAATCTTTCTTGGCCTTTCCATAAGCACAGGAGAGAAGTTTGTAACTAAAAGTTAAAATTCAAAGCAAAACCCATGTTTTCTGGGTGCTTTCTTTGTCCTTTGGTCTTGCAGCTGAGATTGCAATGTTGACAACAAGAGTAGGAGCTAGCATGAAGCTCTGAACCACAGGTATTGACAGAACACACATAGGAGAATGTTGGAATATGTCCCTGCTGAAAAGTGACTATTCCATGAAGTTTCAAACTTAGAATGAGTAGCATCCGAATGCAGGATGTTTTTAGCACAGAGGAACTGTCTCATGGAATCTCAGTACAGCACAGAGGCTTCTTCTAAAATGACTTTCTGGGCTTTGCCAGTGAGTAAAACCAAAACTAGAATAAGCCTGAGAGGTCTCTTCTAAGGATTTGTCCATGAGAATTAGCGTCCTGTTCATTTTGCAAATAAATCCTGAAAATGAATTAAGCTGTTGTGGGGGTTTGTAATTTCACTATGCCAAGGTTCCTGGCTGGCTGACTCACCAGATGGAGCTGTAGGCTTGTTATTCTTCTCCAGATAGTCATCGTTCCATCCCTGAACAATGCTGCTGTGTAAATCTAATGTAGTCCTGTCCTATTGCTGAAAAAGGCAAGCCAGCAGTATGATTTATCAGTGCATTTGCTGGGCTCTGCTGAGAGAACACCAAGATTCCATTTATTCTTGGCTACTTGGAGGAGATCACACCATAGCGTTCTGCTTCACAAGGTAGTGCATGATTCAGCAATGAGACATAAAGCTTGCTTGGGCAAGAGTGGCTTAGCAGCAGCTTAGAACTGTTAGAGAAGCAAATAAGTTACTGTTAAACATGTCAGAAGCTGAATTCAAGTGCAGTGTGTAGATTATAAGCCGCTGGCCACAGATAAGAGCTTAAGTTGCACACATGTATTATAGGGCTTGGATTCCAAACAGCACCTTGGCCATACCCATTGGCCAGGTATGGGCAGAGGGGGTGCATAGTGAGCACCAGATGTTACAAGTGACAGAACTGATTTCAGAAACTGGTTTGTATGTTCATGCCCTTATAGTAAGGAGTACAGTGGTGCAGTGCATGCACAGCAGGACATGAGTCAGAGTCCAGAAAGCAGCAGCAACACATTCAGGCTAAATATACAATGCCAATTTGTTCCTTGTACCTGCTCCCTTGGTACGTCTGGTTCCTTCTTAGAATGTCTGTGGGATTTGGATTCATTTCCTGCCTCTATCAGGCTTCCCTCCACACCTGGGGACAAGGAGTTTTAAGCCAGAGGTTAAAGAGCTTCTGATTCTCACTTTCATAGATTTTCAGGTTATTTCTCCCAGTGGGTAATACAGGGAAGTGTTAAGACAGTTACAGAGGGGATTGTTCAAGTACTTAGAGAAGCTATGTCAAGAAAAATGTGATGTTTTATGTAACAACTGATGACTGTAAGTGCAGTTCTCTATAGCAGTTCTCTATAGCAGGCCTATAGTGCCAATGACAGCTTTTGGAAATAGTCACTACACAGACATTAAGTGAAAAGGAATTCACAGAAACTGAGCTGAGGGATACATACAATTCCGAAGGCATTTAACTAGGGGAGTGAGCAGGTAGCAGTGGCTCAGTGGTTATCAGTGCTCCATTTTCTTCTCCTCTCCTGTTGTGCTCTTCAGCTGTACGCTGTGCCACAAGCTGTGATCTCACTTTGGACAGGGTCACTATTGGTGAATACCAATACAATGTGGTATTCCTGTCTGACAAAAACAGTGTGTTGCATTTCTCCATGAAACAGTCATGTCTTAGATAATTTCTTATCGTCAAGGTCACCCCAAGGGAGGATGCACCTCCACTTTAACATCAGTGACACCCATTTTCCCAGGTCAGGGAAGTTGTCCGAATGGAATGCGAGCCTTAGGTAAAGAGTCTTGGAGCATTAGGGCACAGTCAGACAGTGAATCTCTTCTACATGAAGTATTTTTGTGAGGATGTATGTGACAAACATTGTAATAACACACATGGGTGTCTCTCTACTGCTGCAAGCAGTGTTGCTTGCAGTAGCTATGGTGAGCTCAGTGTAGTATCTAACCTTACTAAAACCTGAGACTCTTTCCAATTAGCCTGCTGTCATTTGTAAGTTACTGGAAAGTGTATGTAGTCTGAGACAAAGAAATGATGCAGCTTTTACTGCTATCATCTGATTTTTGCAAGGAAGAAGGATATCAGAGATGAGATTTTAAAACACGACACATGAATACATCTTGGGCGTAGGTGCAATGGACATAAGGGACATCAGTTCTCTCTTTTTGTTCGTTGCATCATGAATGGCAATCAATCTGGTCATGTTCTTGTGTTTGAAATAAGCAGGTGTCCTATATTCAACACTGGTGCAGAACGTCAGCAGAAGCAGTAGCGTGCAGTGAGAAAGAGCACATCCGAAAGCACGATGTACGACATCCTGGCTGTTTCCCCGTACTCACATATTCCAAGTAGCTTATTTTTTTTTAAGGAAAACCAAACAAACCCCTTCTCATGTTGAAAAGAAGCCTTTCCTGGTTCCTGCAGGACATTGGTGAAACAAAATGCAGAGCTCCTTGGTTTGTAAAGTGGAAAAAAAAGCTACATTCTCCCACCCCCAGTAGTTTGCCTGCAGAGACTGAAAAGCAGAACAGTGTACACTGAACTACAGCTTGAGATTTGCTTTGTACCAGGGCAGGAGGGGAAGAACAACAGTAAAATTACAAAGTCTGAAGAACCTTTGGAAAAGACAATAGCCAAAGATGCCAATGTGGAGGCTGGTTTTAATTATACCAGCGTTAGAAAGAAACTGCAGAGAGGCTCGTCAGCTCCCGGTTCATCCCGGTCTTGTCAGTCACCATTGTTGCCAGGCACAAAACTGGACACATATGAGAAGTTTTGACATAGAAGTTGTGGAATATTGTTCACTAACCCACCCCCACACACCCATTTTATTCCACACTGACAAAAGCTGAGATGAATGAGTTGTTCTCTGGCCCTTCCCACTTTGCATAGTCATTGGCTGGCTTGGTTCTAAAAGGGATTTAAAAAAGGGGAATAATGTGCCTTTGCCTGGGATCTGAGACTGTCAGGGTGCTGAAAAGCTAATCTGCGAGCTGCCACCATGCAGATCCCTTGGGCTGTGTGCTCTGTCTGTGTCTTAACACAAATGGCATTTCGATCTGTGGAAGGGTGGCAAGTGTTTAAAAATGATGCTACAGAAATCATCCCTGAGATGACTGAAAACACAGAAACACCGATGGAGCAGACTTTCAGCAACAACAACACGATGAACCAGGCAAAGCATGGAGGAAGACACATACAGCAAGCTCCAGACCCTAACGGTAAGAAAAATACCATCGTTATTACAGTATTGGACCCTAATAGACAGTTTGCAAAAGAATACTTGTTCTTATCTATTTCTTATTTATTTAATATATATATTTAATTAAAACTTGCAGTGGGATCTAATGCTGTAAGTGATAGGGAGTGATATCTACTGTAGAAGAAGTATCAATGTAAATGTTAGAAGGGATGCACTGGGGTTTACTGATGAAGAACGTGGTCTATGTATTGAACAATCCTTAGGTGCTACAATAGGCTTTGCCCATCTGCTCTCTGCAGACACAACTCCAATATAGAAAACCTGCAGAAATGTTACTTCAATTTCTCTGTGTTTTGTGCTTGCAAAGAGGAACTATCACAGATTGACTTTCTGATGTCAGGAAGGGGTGATGGGTTGACACTGGAGATAATATACATTCTTAATCTTTAGAAAGAGTGGCACTAGTGATGCCAAAGATCACACGGCAGAAATGGCACATGGAGGCTGTGTTCAGCTAGAGGAGAAGTGCTGCTCACTGCCCTTTGCCCACAGCCAGGTCCCAGCAACCAGAAAAGCTGCTACAGAGAGTTAAAACACTCCCAAGGGGAATTCTTGCCCAAGTGAATTGGAGGAACTTTATTTTGCAGAGGTGTGCAATCTTGGAATCAGTTTGGCTACTTTAACAGCACACATTGGCACTGCATTTCCCCAAATACATAACATTTGCAATGATGCAAAACACAAGCCTTGTGAGGAGAGATGGAAGATGAGGAGTTGGCACCAAACAGGGAAAGGTAGTTTTAAAGAAGTGGCTTACTGGCAAACAGGACAACCCTGGTCCTCCAGATTGACACGTGCCTACCAAACACAGAGAGCAACAAGATCGAGTTTCCACTATTGTGCACTGCAGAGCTAGCCTTCTGCTTCCAAGGACAACTGGAAGGGAATCATGGTTTTCTGCTTTCATAGCATTAACAGTATTTTAAAAGCAGGTTTTGAGAGTGTAACTTTACAAAGATAGTAAATGCCTAAAAGGGGGGAGCAATCTGCTGCTCACAGCAGCCCTGGCAACCACCAGGTCAAGGCAGGTTGGTTGTGTTGTTACAGCTGAATACCTTCATTCTTTAGCCTCTTACCACTCTGACATCAGTGAGGGGGGGAAATCTGTCCCACTGATATGTGCATTTACTTAAGCAAGAGAAGGTGGAGGAGCCTGTGCAGGTATTCAAGATATGAAATGGTTTTACATCTTATTTTAATGTCTTTAATACAAGAAATCAAGAAAATGATGCAAAGTAGCCCAGTCTTCCCAGGACACATGAGTTTGCACCAGACCATGAATACTCTTGCAGTATTGCACTGACAGAGGACAGGACATATATGCTGTCACTGATAGAGTCAGAATTCTCTCTTGATCTACCAAGGAGGGGACCACCTTGTGAACAGCAAGGAGAATGAGCCTAACAGACACAGCCTTCTATTTGTAACGTGACCTTTGAGGATTTGCACCACAAGTAGCATTCCTGAGTTAAACTATCCTGTTGGCTAAGAGCAGAACGTTAACATGAGCATATCTGGTGAAGTTCTTTGACAAACACCTTCAGAAATCAAAGTATGTGTCCTCCAGACAAGTCAATTAACCAAGCAGGTCACCTGGCAAAAGAGATGCCTTCAGAATAAGCCTGTTCCTACAATTCCCTACAATTGGAAAGTTCTTCTAAAGCCTTAATGTTAAAAAACTCTTGTATTTCCCAATGTTTCATTTGCCTGTATCTGTTGAGGAAAAGGGGGAAAAACCACTATAAGATTCCTAATCAGCCTGAAGGTGCCTCTAGCTGTCTGAAGGAAACTATGTGGGATATGTAGAATCATAGAATAGTTCGGGTTGGAAAGAACCTTAAGATCATGCAGTTCCAACCCCCTGCCATGGGCAGGGACACCTCACATTAAACCATCTCACCCAAGGCCTCATCCAACCTGGTCTTGAACACTGCCAGGGATGGAGCATTCACAACCTCCCTGGGCAACCCATTCCAGTGCCTCAGCACCCTCGCAGGAAAGAATTTCCTCCTTAGATCCAATCTAAACTTAGATTGGGATTATCACAGAGTGCAGTAAACACAGAAAACCTAATGCCAGAAGAGTGGGAATCCCTCAGCACTGTTGTTGCCTGCTCTTCTCTGGCACGCACTATAGTGGTTGAAAATCACTTAAGGAACACTTAACTTGTTACACAACAGGTTTAAAACTGGAGTCAACCTCTGAAGCCAAGAGAGTTAAAGCAGAGCAATGAGGGGAGGTTTTGCCCCCAGGTAAATGAAGCCAGGAGAATCCCATCCAGATTTGCCATGAAGTAGCCGCGGCTGCAGGGGTTTCACTTCAGAAGCTCTGCTGCCCGCATGCACAAGTCTGAGCTGGAATTTACCCAGTGAGGAGGATTTCAGTCATCAATTCGTACACTGCTAGTCAAGGGCCTCATAACTAAATAGCCGAACCTTCCAATGCTGCCAGGGTGATCTGGAGTTACTCTTCCCCTTCAGGATGCGCAGCTTGTGTCTAGCTCCGAGCCAGGTTACCTGTGACACAAACACCAAAGTGCTTTCTCAAGGGTGGGGAGAAAAGGAGTCCGTAATTAAAGTGTTTCTCGTTTGCAGACGCTTCCGACTTCAGCTGCAGGGAGATGCGCACCACCCGCTACGTCACAGAGGGGCCCTGCCGCAGCATCAAGCCCGTCAAGGAACTGGTGTGCTCTGGTCAGTGTGTCCCCTCGCACCTCCTGCCCAACTCCATCGGCAGAGGGAAGTGGTGGCGGCAGAACTCCCTGGATTATCGCTGCATCCCCGCGCACACGCGCACGCAGCGCATCCAGATGGCCTGTCCTGACGAAGAGACTCGGACTTACAAATTCCGAGCCGTCACGTCCTGCAAGTGCAAGCGCTACACTCGCTACCACAACCAGTCCGAGCTGAAGGACTTTGGGAAGGAGCCTGCCAGGCCTCAGAAGAACAAGAAGCCCCGTCTCTCCAGGGCGAGGAGCAGCAAATCGAACCAGCATGAGTTAGAAAACGCTTATTAGAAGGCGGCTCCGAGCGGTACAGCCTGGCAGCTCTGGATATCTGACGAGACATCGACTGGCACTCACAGGCCACAGCATCACGTTCTGACTGCAGTAGGTTTTAATTCCTTCTGCTAAGCGGGGTCAAAGGCTCACACAGTGAAAAACCTGTCCGACTGTAGCAGCTACGGTGTGATAAAGGAACGAGAGAAACTGAGCTGGAGGTAGCAACACCTAAATTCAGTCCGAGAGGAGAGGTACACCTTGGAGGTCCTGTGGCTTGTACAAGTAGGAAGGCAGAAGAAAGTGAAGCTGTTATGGTGACAATCACACTATATTAGAAGTCATTCTACTCTATGTGAAAAGAATACTGAGATCTCTTTCCCACTTCTGTAAGTGCCATGATGCAGGACAAGCATGAGATTAGGAAGCACCAGGAAAGCTGCCACTCTCTGAATGAGTTGTAGGAAGTTAGTGATAGCAGGGATTTCCACAGTAATGGTGCCTGAAGTCAAGTTGTCGGGATGTCAGATGCCCTCATGACCCAGTTGTCTCCTCCAAAACACAGAAATCAAACGATGATGCTCATGTTCTCAAAAGTGTGACAAATCTGTTTCATACTGTAGGATAGAGAGATTGAAAACTGAGATTTGACAACTAAAACCACAGAATCATGGAATGGTTGGGGTTGGAATGGACCTTAAAGCTCACCCAGTTCCAACCCCCTGCCACGGGCAGGGACACCTCACACTAGAGCAGCTTGCTCCAAGCCCCTGTGTCCAACCTGGCCTTGAGCACTGCCAGGGATGGGGCAGCCACAGCTTCTCCGGGCACCCTGTGCCAGGGCCTCACTCTCATAGCAAAGTTTTTTTCCTACTATCTAATGTACATCTGCCCTCTTTCAGCTTGAAGCCATTTCCCCTTGTCCTGTCACTCCATGTCCCTGTAAAAAGTCCCTCTTGTAGCCCCCCCTTAAGATATTGAAAGGCCACGATAAGGTTTGTATTAGGGACAATGGTTTAGTTTAGGAACCATTAAACAAACTCTACTAAGTGGAGGGGGATTTATGAAAGGATGCTCCTCTCAAACCATTTAACCTCACTGTTGTTTGTCCCCTGAACAGCTAACAATGTGTAGGATTGAACATAAAAGGTACTGATTATTCCTTATTTCCTAGAATACAACTGACTTTAGCATCACCTTAGATGTACCAATTTACATTTTCTATTCTATGGAGTTTGGGTTATCTGGCCACACACTTTCTAGTGCTGAGACTGTGTAAGCCAAGTTCTGGGAGTAAGGTGCTGGTTAAAAGTGAGCCTCTGCTAATCTTAAAGTCATTAATTCCTCTAGAAAAGTCTTTGGTATGTGCAACTTTAAGTCCTTAGCTTGACAGCAACTTTCCCTTTGTGTTTTTACAATAAAGAATAGTATTAGAAAGTGAATCATCACATGCTGTATCTATCCTGTAGAAGTGCTAAGCCTAGTATCAGATGAACACAGTTTGGGATGAAGCCAGTTCCTCACTGTTCTTATTTTCTATGTAGAGTTTATGATGAAATCATATAAGCTATGGAAGTTTGCAATGTTGTTAGATTTTATGCGGGACCAGAGCCTAGAGATGGAAGGTGTTGGTTCACAGAGGGAATTACGTATTTATTTTGTCCTCAGAAATTATTTATACAATGTTTTTCCTTGTAGACAATGAGAAGTAAAATCGCTTTAAAAATAATAGGCTGTTCTTTTTTCATTTCAAATACACTGTTAATAAAGTGGAAACAATGATTAATTGCAGGAAGACTCATTGGTTTGAAACTATAGGAGCAAGCTGATTCACAACAAAGCTGGGGAATTACAGCACAGTCAGGGAGTTGCCTCCCTTTTCTGTCATAAAGTGTCAGGGTCCTTAATTCTCCATCAATCAATAACCCACAGAGCTCCAAAGAAATTCCATCCTGGAACTTCTTGCTCCAATGCAGGACGTTTCTCATGGAAAAAGTCTTCCTGGGCAGAACTCTTTCAATATTCTCCTGTCTACTTGCCCTGGGGAATTCAAACTCAGCCCATTTCACTTTCCCTTTACTCCCAGTGCCACCTCCTGATTCATATGTTCCCACCCTGATAAAGCCACCCAAGCAAACAAGAAGTCTGTGAACTGCCCACTGAGATTGCTCCATTGCAATCTGACTGCTTCAGGCTTCTCTCACTGAAAAAGGAAGAAGCCTGGAACCCCCGGCAAGTGCCAAGCAGCAGTTTGTCTGTTTGACAGTTTGATAGCGCGGACTTGTGCCCATTTTCATTTATAAGACCATATCCTGTGAGAAACAAAGACATTTTCCAATGAAGTCAAGGAAAACTGAGCTTGAGCTTGGACTGCCCATAGCATGCAGGTCTTCTGGTACAGCTATGAACAGCTTTGTCAAGACAGCCATAGAGAAGGTGTCCTTGCCCTGCAATTATTTGATACCTCATATAAAACCATAATGGAAACGGCTGCCAAACCTGTGATAACATTTCCCAGACTTATCTTTGACTTTATGAATTTGGCACCCAGGGCTTCATTCGCAGAACTGAGCGCGGATACCTGCAAGCGCTTCTTAAGCAAGAAAAGCAGTTCAGTTCCTCTGCAAAGCGATTCCACGGTCTCACTGGCATCTGAACTCACTAGAATATGGGGTTTAAAGCGTTGGCTGCGATAAACCAGTGAAAGCACTCACTCCACTATCTGGGACTGCACGCTGGGTGCCAGGCAGGGCTGAAGTACAGAGCCTGCTGCCTTTGGGTGAGCCCCTGACATCTTTCTCCCACATGGTTCACCTTAAAGGCATCCTTTTCAGAAACCAAACCAGTGCAGAAACCCAAACCCAAAGAAACACAGGAGCCCCCAAGCCCCACAGAGTCCCCCCACCCCAGCTCTCTTCCACAAGAAGTGCCTTCTGCCATTCAGAATCCTGCAGGTTTCTGATTTACAATGTAAGGATTGGTTCTTTGCACGTTAGAAAAGCTTTTACAACAATGCCAATGGCCAGGCAGTCTGGAGGCACTGCTGCATTGCCTCTCACTGCCCATCCTGTTTAGGGGTGCTCCTCACTGGTTTCTTACCACAGGTTCCTTGCAAACACAGCATTTGGATTTTCTCTCCCCTCTAATAAAGGTGCACATGGTTTTAGCTCCCCATTAGGACACATTACTCACAGCTCTTAGTAGGGCTCTAGAAAAAGGAGATTTAGAGACTTCCTGGTCCAATAATCTATGCTGGTGTTTGCTGGAAGCATTATTGTGGCTCAAGGGATGTGGTGTGCACAAGAGATGCTCAAACTGGGGCTTGAGAATGAGCGTCTGCAGGTTATTTCAGCTTGTCTTTCACACCAAATCTCTACACTTCCAGTTCTTCCCAAAGAAGAAAGCTTGGTGCTGGACACAGAGGGAATAACTGAAACCAGAGCGACATCATAGATTGTCCTTCCCTCAGTGCAGCATTACTGAGCGTAAACCACACATGGCACAGGAGCTTTCAGAGAAACAAATACTGCAAAGGCTTGGCAATGGGATGGGACCTGCTCTGGGCTCCTTTTACAGAAAGGGGCTTGGAACTAGATGATCTTAAGGTCCTTTCCAACCCTAACTATTCTATGACTGTAAGCATTAAACAGTTTTTCTCCAGGGCTATAAATTTCTCAGGCAAAAGTGAGCTTCTTCACTGTAATTTTTGCAAGAAAATAGCACAACAGAATGCAACTGAAGTGCTACTGAGCTATAAGTAGCAACAGGTCACTGAATTTGTCTTCACTTGGCTGGAGAGAGCTGCCTGTCAGCAACGGGGCAACTGCCACGACGGGCAGCCCACAGAAGAGCAATCCCATTGCTCTTTTCCAGACGGGATTCATGATTTCCCCAAATCAGCTTTGAGCATTCATCCCTTTGCCCCCCATTTTTATTCCCACTTGTGCAGAGAACAAACCAAGGCAGGTTCTCTGCAATGCACTCACGCCAGCAAGTGTGCCAACTCTTTCTTCCACTGTCTTCTGCTATGTAAGACGAACATCCCGGCAGCACAAACAGCCACAGGGTATCCACAGGGTCCCACAGGTTTTGCATGAGGTTCAACGTTTCGATTACAGATTGCACAAGAAAGGACATAACTTTCCCCAGGGAGGCCCTAAGCCCAGCAAACACAGCGTGTGTGTGTTCTGCACCCGTGGTTGACAAAGTCAGCATTGTGAAACACAGAGGGAACAAACACGTATGTTTTTAGCCATATGACATCAACTTATAATTAGCTTCTTTCACCCGAATTAGTGCAGTATATGGGCACACAAAACAACTTTTCTATAGTAAACAAGCTCGGGAGTCTTAAATTAACATAGAACGCAGTTGTATGGAAGTTGAGTCGGGATTGAACGTACCGTGAGCTGTAACCTGAAATGTGAATACACTAAAACTGCCCCTGATAGGCAGTTCGAAATAAAGCCAGTCCAGCTTGAGTGAACTGGATGATCTCCAGGTCCTTTCCAACCTGAACCATTCTATGATTCTATTGCCAGCTCATATTGAGTTTTTCATCCACTAATACTCTAATTCAAGCTCTTCTCTGCAGGGTTGTTGGTGATCCCTGCGTGGCTCAGCCTGTACCATGGGTGGGTTTGCCTCAATCCATGTGCAGGAGCTTGCACTTGGCCTTGTTGAACTCCATGGAGTCCACACAGGCTTACCTCTCTAGCTTGGCAAGGTCCCTCTGGATGGCATCCTTTCCCTCTATAGTATCAGCCACACCACTCAGCCTGGTGCACACTTTAGTATCCAAGCTTGTAATCCCAGCCCTGCCTCTCCTTGCTGCTACCAGGGTCTGCCTGGATCATGCTGATGCCATGAACATCCCTTTTAGCCCAGTGAGGTGAGGTGGTGTGTGATGTGAATCCCTTTTTCACCACATATTGGTTACTCAGGTTCTAACTGACACAGATGGGGCACTTCAGATTGGAATTGTCCCTTATGAATTTGTATAGCACCCTCTGGGTGCTGGAGAAACATTGACCTATACTTGACGTCCATAACGGCAATACCATCGCTTTCACCTTTAAGGGAAGCAGCCCCAACTCCTTGACTGTTACAAGGCCAAAGTCATGCATCTCCCTCCTGAAGACTTCCACATCAGGCTGCTCGTACTGTAGTATTAACCTTCAGACTCAGGCTTTCTTGTTCATGGCTTTTTAGGCAGCTCCCAAACCAAGAAATACAAGTGTATTTATTCTATGGTTATCAAGCCCCTAAATTAAACAGGCATCTTGATCAATTCACCAGCAATTTAATGCTCGTGGCATGAGGTTATTTCAATGTCTTAAGAAAATAGCTCAGCTCTGGCTAAATAAATAAGTGATGTCATTCTTCATTCAAGCTACCAGATTCTTTGGTATAAAAATTTCCCTTAGGAGAGGCCTTGGGACACAGTGGCTCCTCCGAGACTATTTACATCTGTCGGATTCTCTAATCTCTTCTTCCTTCCTCCTCTCCATTTCCTTCCCTTTCCCTACAAAATGGCCAGTATTTAACTCTAATGCTCCCAGTCTGCAGGGCATGGGTTAGAACTGGGTGGTGGTTGGTTTCTTTCGTTGTTTT